CGATCGACCTCCTCTCTCTCTCTCTCTCTCTCTCGAATAAGGAAAAACCTTGGCCTCAGGGATATTTCCTCGCGTGAACCGGACTCCCTCAAGAGTTGTCCTAAAAGTACGCGGCGATAAAAGAGCGAAACTCTATAAAATATCGCACCACCCTGTCGTTCACTACCCTTATCAGTTATATCCGTCGTCTCTCGAATGGATGGATGGATGGATGGATAAGAAACAGGCGTTGCTACTCTGCTGGATTGAAAACGCAACGTTATTCCTTTTACACGTGGCTTACTTGCCCGTCCACGTACGATTTTAACTTCGACTCTGTCCGTGACCCTTTCCCTCCCTCGCTGCATTTTTTATTAAAAAATATGCCTCGTAACGCGGTCGAAGTTCGAACGAAGGGGCAGAGTGGTTTCGTGTTTCGAATGTTTGGGAATATTTTTCGAGTCGAATGCTACTGTTTTACTTTTTTCGTTTTCTTCGTTTCTTTCTTTCTTTCTTTTTTTTTTAATTGACGAGAAGAACGTTCGACGAACGTGAGTGTTTTTAATAATGTTATTCGGATGAGAGGATGGAAGAGGGGGAATAGATTCTACAGGGTTGAATATTCACATGGATGTTGGAAAGAAAGGAAAGAAATTCGAGTTCTTTCTTCCCTATTTCGCAGGAAGATTGGGAAGAATTTTGGAAGGAGAAGGAAATTATTGTATCAAGTCTTTCGGCCAATTGTAAGTTGACGAGTTTCCAATGAATCTTGATTTGTTCACGTTTACAGCTCGTAGAATTATTGGATACGTTATTCATAGGGCGATGTTAGAAAGAAACGAGAGAAACTTTTTTTATTTCAGAAGAGGATTGGAAGGAAATTATTATATCAATAATTTTGCGATATTTGTTTTAGTCAATTGTAACTTCTTGATGCTTCTTCTAATGAATTTCATTCGTTTTTAGAATGCAAGTTACCAGGATAACGTACATTAAGGCGAAAGAAACGAAAAGAAACGATTTGTTCACTTTTACAGTTATTTGCCCTGTAAAGTTTTTCTAATGGATATTTGTTCACTTTTACGCAAGATTAGGGCGATGTTAGAAAGAAACGAGAGAAATTTGAGCTTTCTTTCGTCACTTCATAAGAGAAGGGTTTCGCTGGATTGTAAGTTGACGCTTCCAAAGTCTCTCTAATGGATTTCGATTTATACAGTTTCGTTCGATTCAAGTTATTAGCACGTAGGACGGTCGGATACGCAGTGTGCATTACGGAGAGAGTGCTCGGTCGAGGCGGAACTAATCCGTAACAAGACATATCCATTTCGGAGTCATCCATTAGTTATCGACGAGGAATTTCGAAATGTCATTCAACCGTTCAACAACGAGATCTGGCAACAATTGGTGGCAACCGAAGTAAAAATAACTCGTTTCATTTATATTTCGCCAATCTTTTCATTTCTTCATCCAACAGAAAATTCGCGCAACAAGAATTTCGCTTCTTCCAAAACGAAATTTCTTCTAAAATTCCTTTTCGAAATATCCCTTGCCCTCTCTCGTCGTCGACGAATCAACGCAGATTAGAAACGTACTTTGTATGCGTTATACACGTTCCAACGAGCCCCAATTTTCCCATCTTTGTCTCGCGCGTAACATCCTGCTTATTATTAACGGAACAGAGAGCTCCTCCGACCGGCGCTCCAACCAGGCCAAATTCGACAATTCCTGAATCACGATTCTCATCGCGCGCGGTTGCCGCGGCAAAAGGCAATTTTCCTGCGGCAAACAAGAGACACAAAAGACGGCAACAAAGAACCCGCGCCTCGTTTCCTTTTCCCCACCGCGAAAAACGAATTTTCTGATCTTTAATAAACCATCCCTCCTCAAACAGCCTTCCATTACAATTTCCATTTTCGTCCGTATTTTCAGCCTCGCCGCCACCATTCACAACTTCTAACCATCCCCGACCATATTTCAAATAATCCATTATCCAATATTGTCACATGATTAACGCACCTTCTTCGTTACGATCTTCAGATCAATAATCCTTTCGCTATCGAAATTGTTCATCGAGCAGAAATCCATCTCGATCTCTCTATATTGAATCTTCATCTTCATAAAATAAGGAAATCACGCGCGTGTCCAAGTAAGTACGCGTCCAAAATATGTCAAAGAGGTTTGTTTCTTTCTTTGATTATTCGTCGTCCATTCGTCACGTAGCGGTTGTTCGCGGATGCAACAGTTTTGCGGCCCGACTTTCATTCCCTCCCGCGTCATTTTCCAACAAATTCTCGGCTAACAAAGCGCGTCCCCCCCACCCGGAAGGAGCATCGGGTGACCAGGGCTTTGTCACACGATTATTGCCCTAATACCTGGGGACTGGACTCACCCCCTTTGAGGAGCCGTGTCCATCCCCTTTGGAGACCCGTTTCCGCTCACATGTTCCGTCCGTCGATTTCGAATCGAAACGAAATTGAACACCGTTGCTCACGGGTTAAGTGGTATAAACGAAATTTTTAATCGAGGCTGAATTCGAGGAAGAAGTTTTCTCGGAACGCTTGCGAATTTTTCGAGCAAGGAAAATTTTTAAAATGAATAACGTAGATGAAACGGACGGAGAGATACCTTATGATGAAATTATTATCTTCGAATTAAAATTCCATATTATTCCGCGATCGTTTTAAATTATCCTTTTTTCCTTTTTCCAACAGAGAGAGAGAGAGAGAGAGGATTCTTTCGATTAAATTTTAAGCTTGTTCCAAACACGTGCGAATTCATACGGATTTATCTTCGGGATAATTCGTTTAAAAAAAGAAATATTCGATTCTGGTTTACTTAACGTTAATCTTCGTCCGGATGGCATCCAACGAAAAAGAATAATATCGATCGAAAAGCTTTCCTCCCATAAAAAAGCGCGAAACAAGCATCGCAATCCCTTAAAAAATCTACGAAACCGTTTGAATCAACTCTCTAACCTTCCTAAATTCGGGTAGGGATCGCGCGCGCCATCTGGACGCAGAAAATCGGCCGCACGTATAATATACCCGATAAACACAAACCCGATTTATTATTGATACAGGGATATTATTAAATCCGTTTCACCTCGTTCTCCCCCGTTCCTCGAACTAACTTTTAAATCTCTTCTCCTCGTGGTTGATAAAAGGGAGGAAAGGAGGGGAAAAGAGAAGAGGAGAAAGAAGGAGCAAGAAAAAAAAAACGAGAGAGACGGACGAAGAAGACGCGCGCTGTCCACGAGGAGGATGGAAAAGGGAGGGGGAACCACGCGGAGAGCCGACGAATTTATTAACTTTAAAAGCTGGCTGCAATGCCGCCTTGTTGGAGGCGCTTTCATGGCTTTACGACCCTCCTCCTCTCCCCCCTTCCGCAGCGACCCGGCAACCCCTCCCCTCCCCCACGGATCCATGATGCTCAACTTATAATTTTCTTTGAAGCTTCGTGGCTTATCGATTGGCCTTTATGATTGGAATTTGTAATAACTTTCGATCCGTTTCCCGCGCGCGTGCCTCCACCAAACCCTCCACACCCCCCCCTCCATCAGGGGTGGATTTCATATCGCGCTAGCCACCACGCCATCGTGAGAGAGGGAGAGAGGTATCCAATAATGGAGTCACAAAGATTTAGTTCCTACTTGGACGGTCTTTGTGCGTTTCGCTCGATACCGAATGCCGCCACCACCATGGAGGGGAGGGGAAAGAGTGGCCAATTACCGGCGGTGTCTCTTCCTTCCTTCCTTCCTTCCTTCCTTCCTTCCTTCCTTCCTCGAATCCACGCTCTTCACGCGTGACACCGCTGATAAATGACGTTGGACACCACCAAGCAGAGCGTCCTTTGCAACCGAGGAGGACGATTGAAATTATTTCCGCGAAAGATCGAAAGGCTTTGGATCTTCCGAAGGCTTCTTCCGATGCGGGGTTAATGGGCTCGAATTTTGGTTGGATTGGTCGGAGGTTTCGAGACGATAGGGTTAAGGCTAGTCTCGAATTTGGGATTTCTTCTTCTTCTTCTTCTTCTTCCATTGTGGAAATAATTTAGAATCGCGGTTCCAATTTTGTTGGACGATGATACGATAGTTTGAATTTGTTTCATCCTACATCGTAAACTTGGCGAGTTTATTATTATAAAGAGTATTATAATTGTTTCGAAAACAAAATCATAACGGGACTCCACCGAATGAATTTAATACATGGAAACGTGGACGGATCGGATGAATATGAATCGAATCGTAGCCACGAAGCTAAAGCTGCCTCGAAAGCAGCATTAATTCCTTCCTATCGTTTCGGCTGTGCTCATCAAACAAGCGAGAGGAGCACGCAATGTCGAATAATTTCCCGAACAATTATTTGCCTGCGAATATTTCTCGAATATACTTCGAACTTTTCATATTTCCGGAAGAGAAATTAGGCCGGTTAATTGACCGGTTCGAAAATTAGAATGTTGGTGGCCAATTATCGGACTCATTAAGCTGGCTAGACAAATTTGTTCTTCCGAGCCGGATATCCAGAGAGGAGGGGGAGGAGGAGGAGGAGGGGGAGAGACTAGTATAGATCGCCCGGATAAAACTGTAATGCCACTGCTGAAAGTCGGTCGATCGAATTGCTGAACTTGGATCTTGCCAATTACCTTGGCAATCGAGCGACTTAAGGATCGAGTTTTTTCGAGTCGTTAAATTTATTATATTGCCCCATATGAAGTTCGATTCGAAAATCCGTCGTTTCCCCCCCCGATATTCTCGCCCTATTAACCATCGCGACGATATAAATCGTATCCATTCAGATTCGATTACATTTGGGAGAAAATTTAATTGGGACCGATATTATAATCGAATCCTTGAATCGCCTTCACGTCACAGTTTCGTATTATCGCCTGTCGATAAAATTGTATTGATAAGCGTGTCCAACGTACTACGATTCATTCTATTATTTATGTATATATGTTATCCTAATTGCAGGAAATATTCTGCGATTTAATAACGTTAATCGTCGTAATATTATTTCTCGAGGAGGGAAGAAGAGATCAAAAACTTGGGATCGAGTTTAAATTTTTGATTTTAAATTTTAAGCAGCACGATTCCTTGCTCGACGCAATCCATTCGATTCGTTCGCGATCTAAAATCTCTCATCATAAATTTATTGACCCGTAAAGCAATCGAGAGGGAGAGGGAGAGAAAGATAAACTTCTCGAAGATTGAACATCAATTTCCTTCTTTTTCCGGCAAACAAAGTGGCAGAAAGTAGCCAAGCGAAGCGCGAGAGAGATTCGAGAAATGTCTTGATCGCGTCATCGCAGCCAAGTTGAAAGTTGCTGCCAAGAACAGCCTCCTACGAACATCTAGCTACGCTAATTTAATCTTTCCTCGAAACTTTCAAACTCGTTGCGATTCTTTCGTATAACCCATTCACCCCTCGAATAATCTAACGAGACAACCTGAACAAAACCTGCAACACATTACGAGAGGGGAAAATATTTGAAAATTGTTGAAAGAAGATTATTAAATATATACGTTTTATTAATAGAATTTTTGAAAATTCTGGAAATGGAATTGTATCTGCAGTTGTAACCTGCACAGCTGATTGATCGGTCTCAGAAGATTCGATATTAGAGGTATTCTGAGATGAAAAGTTTACATTTTTATCATGTCTACAATTTCGTCCAAAGATTTGTATATTCAACGATGAAAGATATATATAAAAAAAAAAATGGATAAGACAAAATTCATCTTCATATTTTAACGAAGAAGATTAACACTGCTCTCCTTTTGGAACATTCTATTCTTCTAAATCAACTAAATACTTGTTACAATTTAAAAACACGAATCAAGATACAATCAAATTGTTTACTATGGATACAAACTTTAATCTTTTTCCTATCTTTAAATTATCACAAAGAACAGCCTATTTTTCAAAATTAGAAATAGCATCGCCATTACAAAATCGTTCACCGTTATATTACTTACTATAGAAGAGAAAAACTTCACTTTTTCCCTATTCGATATCGTCAGAAAAGAAACAACTTCCAAATACTCGCTACAAATATCCAATACAATCTATTTTTTCAAAAACAGTATTACAAAATCGCTTGCATTACTTATTTCGCCTTCTCCCTAGATCGGCAAGATCAAACAAGCATTTCCAAAAACGTTTGAAAACAATCTATTTTTCAAAATCAGAAACAACATCACCGTTACAAAATCGCATTACGTTACGTTACCATCGATAGAAACTTCGCCTTTCTCCCTATTTCGATATCGTCACAAAAGAAACGTAGAATGTATTTTTCGAAATCAGGAAATCAGCCATTACAAAATCGCATTACGTTACATTACCATCGATAGAAACTTCGCCTTTCTCCCTATTTCGATATCGTCACGAATGAAACAACTTACAAAATCGCTTACATTACTTATTTCGCCTTCTCTTTATCCGTAAAATCAAACAAACAACATTTCCAAAAACGTTCGACTCGAAAGCTTGAAACGGCGACCTATTTCCCAAAATCAGGAACGAGATCTACAAAATCGTTTATCATTACATTATTTACCATAGAAGATGAAAACTTCACTTTTTCCCTATTATCGTCACAAAAGAAAAAACAACTTTCAAATACTGGGTGCAAGGGCTCGATACGATCTATTTTTCGAAATCAGGAACAGCATCGCCATTACAAAATCGAATTACATTATCATCGATAGAAACTTCTCTCTATTTCAATATCATCACGAAAGAAACAACTTACATCACAAGATCAAACAACATTTCCAAAAACGTTCGACTCGAAAGCAATCTATTTTTCAAAATCAGAAACAACATTATCATTACAAAATCGAATTACATTATCATCGATAGAAACTTCTCTCTATTTCAATATCATCACGAAAGAAACAACTTACATCACAAGAT